GTTTATAACAGCACTGCCCAACAGAACTTCCTGTGACGGGAATACTTTGCATCTGCGCTATCCAACAGACGCCACTAGCCACATGCAGCGATTCAGAGTTGCAATGTAGCAAGCGCAACTGCGGAAGTGAAGTTTTCATTTTACTTAATTAAATCTAAATAGCCGCATGTTGCTATTTAAACTTAAGTTTAATTAATTCTATAACATTTTGTTAAGGCTTTCTTTTGGTTCAGTTAATGGGACCCAAGACCTGTTAAATATGCCACTCTTTGAAAGCAACTCTAAGCAAGCTTCTTTTCTCATGTCAACTGCAATCTTTAGCGCGGTTGGCCAGAAACGTAAGATTCCAAGACTGAGATGGAACAGATAATAACTTAAGTTCATGCCTAAATCCATAATCCAATCCAGCTTTTATCAGAGCTCTGCCCTGGAGTCCAGGGAGTGGTATTCAGATTCTCATTCTGCTCATCCTTGAAGCACTGGGAAAGGAGGGTGGTAAGTGAGCAGATGTGATTGGCAGGACAGGATTTGAGCCTTCCTGAGTCCCTGGATATCACCTCATCCCAATTCCTAACAACTAGGAACTAAGAGTATTCAATTTGTAAGGACTGGTAGGTATTGTGAGGATTGTTAGGTATGTGGAGGGAATGGCACAAGATAAGGCTAAAAAACTAGGTTATGGCCAGACTGTCAACTGAAGCAGCGATGGGTTGTTTTGTTTGTTTTAAATCACACACAGGACAGAAAAAGCCTAGTGTCTAGCACACAGTACAAAATTAATAAATATTTAATCTGGCAGCAATATGTCTACTGATCTGGAAGCAGAAGAGATTAAAAAATATCAGGGGAAACAGTTAACAAGAATCTAATATGGTAACACAGTTTCAAAATTACTGAGGAAGGTGAACTGATTAAAAGATATGGGGAAACTATCATTTACTAAGGACCTACTATGGGACAATCATGCTAGTCATTATTTTATTAGTTCTCACAACTCTATACATGAAGCATGATTATTCATGTTTTCAACTTGAGTAACTAAGGCACAAAGAATATGTAATGTTCCAAAGGTCACACAGTTGATAAAAAACCAAGTGAATATTCAAGCCTAGATCTGTCTGCAGTAGAGGAGGAAGCAACTTCTTTCCACCCACATAACCCTGCTATTCTTGAAACCTGGAAATAAACTGGACAACGTAGGGCAAGGAAGAAGGGTCAAGAAATAGCAGGAGGTTGCTGAGACCTGATGACAGACCCTTTTAATAAGGCAGCCAGCAACTGCTAAAAGCCCTGATTGGGGCACTGGAGACACAAATGTCAATAGAACACAGTCCTTTACTTGAAGGGATTTACAGGTGGCCCAGTAATTATAATATAAAGTGACTTAAGCCCTAAACAGCAATAGGGAGGTCATGGGAAAAAGCAAGTTTATGTACACAACATATATCTCTGAAAATTATAGGCCTATAATAGCTAGAAGTTTTCTAATAACACTGAAATGTAAGATAATCACCTTCAGAGTGATTCAAGATAACTGTCACCGGAGTGTTTCTCCATAATCATTAAAAAAAGGACTCTCAACAAATTAGCAATCATTAACTTAATTATAAGATATTATGCATTCATTTCATTCATCACCGATACATTACAGAGAGCATTTCCCTAAACATCTCTAACATGTCCACTCATCCCAGTTAAAAGCAATCCAGGCCAGGCGCAGTGGCTCAGGCCTATAATCTCAGCACGAATCACAAGGTCAGGAGTTTGAGACCAGCCTGGCCAACATGGTGAAACCGCGTCTCAACTAAAAATACAAAAAATTAGCTGGGTGTGGTGGTGGGCACCTGTAATCCCAGCTACTCGGGAGGCTGAGGCAGGAGAATCACTTGAACCCATGAGGCAGAGTTGCAATGAGTGGACATCGTGCCACTGCACTCCAACCTGGGTGACAGTGTGTGAGTCTCTGTCTTAAAAAAAAAAAAAATACTGTCTGTAACCATTTCCCTTCTTCTTAAAAACACTCCTCTACATCTTGTAGAAGCTTAATTTGCTAGAATGAAATTAACAGAAATTATCAAATTCTAAAAGCCTTCAGCATTTTCAATCCAGAATACAAAGATAAAGAAATGATTCAAAAGTCATCCCAAGAGAAATCAAGTTCACATATGCACATATGTTCACTGCAGCATTAGTCGCAATAATAGCAAAGACATGGAATCAACCTAAATACCCATTAATGTCAGATTGGATAAAGAAAAGATGGTATATATACACTGTAGAATACTATGCAGCTATAACAAAAACTGAGATCATAACCTTTGCAGGAACATGAATGGAGCTGGAGGCCATTATCCTTAGCAATCTAACACAGGAACAGAAAAACAAAATACTAAATGTTCTCACTTATAAGTGGGAGCAAAGTGACAAGAACACATGGATATGATGCAAAGAGGGAAACAACAGACACCAGGGTCTACTTGAGGGTTGAAGCTGGGAGGAGGCTGAGGATCAGAAAAAATAACTATTGGATACTAGGCTTAGTACCTGGGTGATGCAATAATATTTACAACAAACCCCTGTGGCATAAGTATTACTGTATTACAAATCTTCATATGTACCCCAAACCTAAAAAAAGGTATAAAAAAAAAAGAGAGAAATCAAGTTATAGGCAAACTACCTACCAATCAAAAACTGAAAGATTTAGCTCAAGTTTAAATCACTAACACACACACACACACATACACACACACAGAGGAATAAACTCAGAAAGCAGGCCGATTACTAAATTGTTCTCTTATACTTTATGCATTTTATTACTGTTTTCCTGAGGTATGTTATTTATAGCATAACTCACATAGGATAAGAAGTTACTAGCCCATTTTATGGAATTAATAGTCTATATTTATTTTCTAAGTATTTCCCATATATTTTGTATAAATAGAATGAGGGCAGTAAGGTCAAATAAGCTGACCTAAAGAACCTGCAATTTTGGAAGAACTGACAAGCAAATATAAGAGTATTAACAGTTTTGATACATCTAATATCTCCAAAAGCAAAACTACAGGAGGAAAGGGCCAGTTCCCTGCAGTAAACAGATGTCACTTACGAACATTCTTCACTGGCCCTGCAGCACCTCATACAGGCCGTGCCACGTAAAGTGGCCTTGATAAATAATTTTTGAAAGAATAAATAAACAAATAGGGGAATGTCAGTGAGTGATGGATCTAATGAAATCAATGGTATATTCCATAGTCCTATAAGGGAGTTTTTTAAATGGGGCTATGCAACATTCCAATTATTTTTTTTAAGTAGTCCTTTCAACAGGGAAAATAGCAGTCCATATAAATCCAATGTGACCTCTACCTAATAGTATATGAGAAATAACTGGTTAGGAACTACTGCTTTTAAGCTAAACTAAAAAACTTTTGTTAGTGATTGTGTTTATTGTACTACTGTAAAGTATACAAAAACGAGATAAACTGACGCTGTAATGGCTTTTTTAAAAACACAAAAACACCAATTGCCTGAAAAAAATATATAGTATTTTCAGAAATGTAACTATTATTTGTATTCTACAATTCTTGTAAGATATCATTATAACCGAAAGGGAAGAGTAAAGCATATTCCAACTGCATTATAACATTACAATGCAAGCGTTTTTGTAATCTCTTTTTGGAATTTTAATATTGGCCTACGAAAAAATCAACTGGCTTCTAGAGGACTCTAACAAATAATATGACCATGAAGAAAATTTAAATATATGCTCTCTTCATCCTCCTCCTGGAACAAAATCTCCAATGTGACAATGGGGAAGCAATGTCCCTGGAGCCTTTCAGGAACCCCAGCTAGATGTGCTGGCAGAAGCGCAGGCTCCCCCAAAGGCATTCTCTCCTGCTGCCCCCAGCCTGTTTTCCATTCAGGTTTCCGCCAGTATAAACAGAGCCACGTGTGGTAAGACAACACTGCTCTATTAATACTGGGAAAGTAAACAAAAAGAAAAAGATTTTCCCAGACTTTCAGCACTGGGTTCATTCACTTAGTTTTAAATGTGTACTGAAGTTCCTATTGCGTTCAAAGTGTGGGGCCGGGAACTGAGTCTTATATGCTTGCAAATTTCCCTGTCACAGCTTCATAAAAGTCTACACAGGTCATAAAGAGATGCCAAAGGGTCCACGTGCAGAAGTGACCACCACAGACTTGAAACAGATTTCAAGTCTACTATTTGTTAGAGTCCTCAGCCTTGATTTCCGTGTTGTCCATTTATTAGCTAATGGTCTGGGGCATGTTACTTAAGCTTTCTTTCCTTTTCTGTAAAATGGGAATAACAAAATTGCCTCTCTCAAAAGTATTGTATCGATTTAAAGCATAATGTATTTTTCGCATAGCACCCAGCATACAGCAAGTGTTCAGTCAATAATAGCTGTCTGTGCTTTAGCTAAATAACGTATCTCTTTACTTATTCAACTTATTTAATACGCACCTAACAGGAACCTCTTACAGGTTAGACATTGAGAACACAGATAAAACAGAAAAAGCCTGTCTTTTGGGAGTTTATAGTCTAGTACAACAGACACACACTAGCTAATTCGTTGATTATAATGTAGTAACTGCCATAAAACTTCATTTTTTCCTAATAGCTTGATTGAGGTATAATCAATATATAATAAAGTCCACATATTCAAAGTGTACAGTTTAATAAGTTCTGGCATATGTACACAGGTGCAAAATATCACTACAATCAAGAGACGAAACATACTCATCACTTCTAAAAATTCCTGGTACCCATTTATAATCCTTCCTTCCTATACCAGTGCCATCCACCACCTCTGAAGCAGTTACTGATCCACCTCCTCTCACTCTTTGCCATTTATTTTACATCTTTAAAATAATTGTACAGAAAAATAATCATATAGTATTATATTAGTCCATTTTCACATTGCCAGTAAAGATATACCAGAGACTGGGTAAATTATAAAGAAAAAGAGGTTTAATGAACTCACAGTTCCACGTGGCTGGGGAGGCCTCAAAATCATGGCAGAAGGTGAAAGGCACATCTTACATGGCAGCAGACAAGACAGAATAACAGAATTGGTGTGGGAAACTCCCCTTTAAAAAATCATCAGGTCTCATAAGACTTATTCACTATCATGAGAACAGCACAGGAAAGACCACCCCCCATGATTCAGTTACCTCCCACTGGTTCCCTCCTACAACATATGAGAATTGTGGGAAATATGATTCAAGATGAGATTTGGGTAGGGATACAGCCAAACCATACCAATTATTACATTCTTTTTATCTGGCTTATTTCATATGGCATAATTATTTTGAGATTAATGTATATCAGTAATTTTAAAACATACTGCACAATAAGATCACCTAATCTAGTCTACCGCATGTAGACCTGAACCTTTTCCTTCAAATATCATCTCTCCACCTAAACTCATCCCTGTGAACTCTAAGGTGTATAAGCAAATCTAAAGTTAACCACTTTTCTAAGAGTTTGCTTTGCTAATGCAACATGCTAAATACAATTTCTCTTACTTCATCCACTGAGTATTTGACACCAACTACTATTTTATTGTCAGAACATAAAGATCAATGTTTTGTGCTTCCCATATCAAGCAAACAAAATCAAGATGAGGAGTTTTTAATCAACCCTCGAAGGAGACTCTCAGGATAGATTTGCGAATATATATGCATTACCATTTTGTTAATATACTAAAAAATGAAGGCACATCTGTGTGGCTTTTCATAAGATGGTAGAAATTTTTGAGAAACTGTTCCATAGAGATTCTAGAATCTAAAATGTTGCTAAGAAGACTGACAATTTTCTAGCTGAGTGGCCAAGTACACTGCTAAAAGGCATGAACTTCTGATAGAGAATCCACATAGAAGGAAAGGAGAACTATTCCCTTTAGCAGATTATTAAGTAATTTGGGGATATAGAAATTAAATTAAAAATTCTCTTTCATTTTAATATGAAATTTCTTATATTTCTCACTGTACAATGTATCAAGATGAGATGACATCACTCAAGAACCAAGTATAATGTTTGACATATAGTGGATACCCCAATAAAGTATAGTCATGTCAGTAACAACCTTGATAGAAGGCCAGCCCAAGACAAAGAAATGACACAGTCATATTAGAAACTTCCTTAGAGAAATGGGTCCTACCTTGATTATAGTGACTCCTACATTTTCAATCAGTCATTCAAAAAATTGGACATCTCCTGTATTCAGCATCAAGCTAGTGTGCCAACAAATATTTACTGAGTGTCTACTATATGCCTGGTACCAAAGAAGGCTTTTTCTTAAAGGATAAATAAGATAAAATGCTCTGACTCAATCTTTGATGAATGTTTTAAATGTATTTAGTTTAAATGTAAGAGAATGGCACATGCAAACACTCACATATTTGCTTTGCACTCTTCCAAATATGGTTTCTCTCCTAGTAGTGTTAAGTTTGAGACACATGAAAATAATAAGGCATGCACTAAATCATGACATTACACAAGGTTCACCGTGTTTCTCAGTTATCCTATCAATTGCCTTGATATTTTAATTTCTAGATATCCTTCATTCAATCAACTGTTGAAAGCCTTGAATAAAAACAACAACAATGGTTACATTCATTCATTGTTCCCCTACTATGTGCCCAGCCATGCCAGGTTAAATTCTGCCATCAACTGATTAAGAGTATTAATCATGTAGAGGAGAGGATAAAGAAGCCTTTCTTTGGAAATAAAATAATATAACTGCTACTTTGATGTTTGTGTAAGTCACATACCCAAAAGCTGACGCTGATACCATATTTGTCATTGAAGACTCTTAAGAGCAGTGAGGTACAGTACGTACAACTACAATACAACTGAGACACCTAAAAACAATGGCACTTTTGCTGACTTTGTTGGCTGTATCCTAACCAAAAATGTACAGTGAAATTAAATTATATTGCCGGTAAGAGTTTTATGTTCCTAGGCATAGATGAAACGGAGCATTTGCCAAAACCTGCTAACACTGCTTACATGATTATTAATGGTAACAGGACCTGTACATGAATAGCATCAAATGGGTTACTTGAGAGAGAAATGGAGAAAACTATATACACACACATTCCAGATGAAATCCTAGAATTAAATGCTGACACCCAAAAGGCATGCAGGTTAAGCGACTGTAGCAGATGAAAATATATCAAAGCCAGATACATTTCCTGTTGAAAATTCCTTACATTCCATGACTAAATCCTAAGGGCCACAGGCAGCACTGCAATCTCCGATTGTGCTGATACGCAGGAAGGGAACTGTACTCGACAGAACACGGTTGCAGTCACAAGGCAAAATAAAAGTGTCTGCGAGGCAATTCACACGTCTTCACAGAAGGAGTGACAACTGTGACCTTGAGCCCCTTCTAAAGGTTCGTCTGCCTTAAGATCTTACTAGGTTCCGGTAGCCTACTCACAGAATACAGCAAGATTTTATATTTTTTAAGCTTTTAATTAACACTACAATGAAACTGTGTTGATACACTTTGTGGTTCTCACGGCAATCACTATTTACTGACTACAAAGGTACTACGTATTCAAAGTATTCAAACTATGTTTTAAACTATCATTTACATTCTGACTAAGAACCCCCAGAACATTCTGTAATGTCTATATATAATTCAGAATGCCCTATATCTTGATCTCAAATTCTGCAAAAGACGGGTGGGGAAAGAGGTTGCTAAAGAAACAGAAAACCAAAAAGCACCCTGAAGCAAAACCACCACTCAGACAACATACAACATTGAATCACTATCAATATCTAGTGCTTGTCTGTGAAATCTCATTAGCAAATCATCCTTTATAAACTAGAGCTACTGACAGGTTTCAGGACATGCAGAGCTGGGTATCAGGCAGTTCTCTTGCCCGAAAGAAGTCAGTAGGATTATAATGTAGTATCAGTGTTGCAGTTAATCTATAGCCCATAAAGGAAATCAGAATGTATAACTCAGGTTCTACCTAGGACTATCCAGCTCTCACTTGAAACATTTTAGGAGTCCCACAGTAGATCCAGCACTGTGATCGCTGGATAAAATTGAGTGACCTGTGTTTTGTTGAAGGTGACCCCGAAGGGTATATACAAGCCATTATTTATGACTGCTTATGATTCTTTGCCATATTTAGCATATGTCTGAGAAGAAAGCAATTCTAAGAGCCAAATTTATTTCAAGGAAAATTCATACTATGTCTTCCGATTACGTATATGTGTAGACATATGCACACACCCAAAATACCCATGCACGCCCCAAATCACACACACCCAAACTTTATCTTTTTTTTTTGAGATAGGGTCTTCCTCTGTATCCCAGGCTGGAGTGCAGTGCCACAATCATACCTCAGTGCAGCCTCGACCTCCTGGGCACAAGTGATCCACCCAACTCACCTGCCCAAGTACCTGGGCCATGGATGTGCACCACCACATCAGGTTTTTTTGTTTTTCCTGGTAGAGTTGGAGTCTCTCTCTGTTGCACAGGCTGATCTCAAACTCCTGGGCTTAAGTGATCCTCCCACCTTGGCCTCCCAAAGTGCGGAGATTACAGGCGAGAGCCATAGCACCCAGGCCCCAAACCTTATCTTTCCATATTCTGAATAATTTTAGACTCTGTTGACTGAGTTTGGGTATAGGTAGTTTGTTTCATTTAAATACTGGGAGTAATATTATTCAAAAAAACAAGCCCTAAGAGTGGCTTGTAATAAACTTTTCACCGAGGTTAATGATGCCCACACCTATGGAATACCGATGAGGCAGAATTGCCTAAGAAGCACTTAGTACAAAATAAAATAAAACCAAGTACCAAAACACAGTCAATTTCCTTTGCCCTATCTTATACCACTGAGAATTAACTAGATTAGCCATTTGGAATGTTGATTCTCAAAAAAAAGGTACTTTGATATCAGAAAACTGACAGTTTGTATTTTACTTTTGAAACACAACTAGGCTTCCTGTTTTCTATCTTATCTTCAAGAGAAAAGGCAGCTAAGTAAACAATTTCCACAGGCCTCAAGAGCATTGCGACCTAGTCAACAAAAATAGTTTTAATTAACAGATAAGTTTGCAGTTTAGTTGGTAAGAAATTTACTTAAAACTGTTTTTAGGGAAAAGCATGGAGAATAATAGTATAAACCGATTATTAGAGAGTTTTTTTTAGTATCTCTATTATACAGTCTTCCATATCAAGGCAGATCTTGGCAGAGACAGATGAGGCCATCTATTTAACAATGAATTATTAAAAGCAAAGGAAAAAAGGCAAGATACTATTTAATCCTTCTTCACAAACAAACATCAATAAAGCAATGAGGTTATTGAGTATTTTTATGCTTATAACCCCAAAGGAAGTACTCCTCACTAATTAAATGTGTACCGGTAACATCGTTACTTTTACAAATCCAATGTAGATATTAATTTTTTTAAAAGTCTACCTAGAAAAAGTATTCAGTTGATTCTTCATTCAATAGTCAAGCACCTACTAGGTGCTAGGTGACAGGAATACAGAGCAAAGCTGTTGTTATTTGTTAAGGAATCTGAACTTCTTGTTTATTTCATTCACCAATTTCAGGTCCCTACCAACAGAAAAATCACAGATTGGCCCAATCCAGATCAATCTTCAATTAAGGATCAATCATATAAGCCAAGTGGCTCAGGCTCTTTAGCCTCTTGTCACTATACTCAAAGTTCTCTTGGCCCCACTGAGTGAAACTGGCACCAATTCCTTGATCAGCAGGATGTAGCATAGCTAGTGCCAAAATACTGCAAGCATTCAAGCGCCGGTGACCTTAAATTGAGGTCATTACCATCTCCTACCATTTTTTTGACAGTTGGCTGCCGTTCTCTGAATGTAAGAATCCTCTAAATTCTACTGCATCATTCAACTTGTAGACCAAGGTTGATTGGGGTGCTCCAGGTAACGTCTTTTCAATAATAAAGAAAATAGCTCCCTCTCTTCTTGTAAGAAATGGGTTAAGGATTCAGAAACTCTGGACAGTGATAGATTTGTTTGTTTGCCCACTC